GGGGGGGCGCGGGGGCCGGAGAGTGGCAGTTCAGGGAGCCCGGGGACAGCCCTGGGGCCCCGCTCCCAGCCTCTCGCCCCGAGCATGGTCTGCACTCCACCACCTCCAGGCCCCGCGCCCAGTGGCAGAGCCCGGCCCCGGGGCCTCACCTTAGCTCTGGGTAGACATTTTCCAGGTACCATTTGAAAGGCTTGCAGCTAAGTTTCTTCCTGAGCTCCAACCGGCTCTGAATACTGCAGAAGGGGACAAGACTTCTTTATAAATGTAAAGAACAGACAGGCTCTACGTCAAAGCCGGAGATCAGCCGATGAGACAAGAGCTGGGGCAGGTGGTGGAGACCGGACTGTCCATACTTCTGTCCCCAGGACCCCGCTGTCTTCCAAGCACCTCCCGAGAGGGCCCTCGCCGGCCTTGGGTAGGGTCCCCCTTTAACACCTGGTGGCTCTTCTCAACTCTGGCCACAGAACGCTGCTTGGGGTGTGGGCTGACCACCCTGCCGAGGCGCACACACACGCACACACACACACGCACACGGATCCCAGGCAAAGCAGCGAGAGGGCATGAGTCACACCTACTTTCCGTCACACACACACATGCACACGGATCCCAGGCAAGGCAGCAAGAGGGCACGAGTCACACTTACTTTCCATACGGGACGTTTCTGGCAGAAGGCACTGCTGCGTAGTAGAAGTTTTTGTACTCGTCCATCCAGACCTCTGCTGCCCGGCGGGTGTTACTAGAAACAAAACACATCTCCTTGAGCTGCGCGTTGCCATCTTTCTGTCAGCGGCATCCTGTCTGCACCAAGGAAGTGCTGCTGAGGAGGGTGCTTTGGCGGGGAGCAGGGCCTGGTGGCCCGGCGGTGGTGCTCGCGTGGAGCAGAGGACAGGCTGCTCCCCAGCCCCCGGGCTGTATCGGGGTAGCTGGTGCTCCGCAGGCGCTCACTGAACAACAGAACCCGCGTCCTCGTCTTTCACAGAACACAGACTGTCACAGAGCACAAGTCCAAGTCAGAATTATAGCACAGGCAGGTATTTTACAGCAGGGACTGCAGCTGTACCATCGAGAAGGACAAAAGTGAATCACTGCAATAACTCTTACTGTGCATCCGCAGAAGGCTGGTGCCAGGGCGCACGGCCAAGAAATCCTTGGCCTCTGCTCTGCAGCCTTTCTCAGGTGGCTGCGACAGAGAGCTACCACTAGACAGCCGTGGGGAGAAGCTAAGAGCACACCACAGTTACTCTAAAAATTACTTTTGGCAGAGCTGAGCTGAGGGAGTGTCCTGTTTGGACCAGGAATAGTGGGGGACAGTAGCGTGTGCCCCACATCTGGGGTTCTTACTGCCCTGCGACGGAAGGGGAAAGATGGAACAGGCTCCTCTAGAAGGCCAGAGGCATCCGTGCTTACATCTCACAACTGTGGAGGGTACCATGACCCACGATCAACAAGGCCAGCGGGACAAGCTGCCTTCGAATGTGTGACATCTATTAAAGGCTGCCACACACACACGGCCATCAGTATCTTCTCCTGCCAGAGTTCTCTTTAGAGCACTCAACGGTGAGTCTCTGTGCTCCGTACCCATGGACTCTGGTCCAAAGCAGACTCACACCTTAGGTTTAGATAGAGCCAATGCTCTTTCAGAACCCATATAGAAGGCGTTCTGTTCTTCCAAGATAAACACATTAGGAATGCAACGTTCACCTTTTACAAGAATACCTTCCCTCATTAGAAAGGTCTCTTTTAAATGGTGAGCCTTTCAAATCATCTGAGTTACAATTACTAAAATAATTTGTTTGGGGCATATATCCTTCGTATAAAGTGACATATGTACCTAGATGGACTGCTGTTTAGAAAGCCCCGTAAGAGGCAGACAATTTGAGAGCACCTGTCCTCTGATCCAGCAGTTCCCACTTCTAGAAATTTACCTCAAGGAAATAATCAACCAGGAATGAAAATACGCTCAATTTAGCACAGTTTAAAATGGCAGAAAAAATAGAAACTATATGACCGTTAACAGTAAAGTGGTCAAACACATGGACTCCTCTGTGGCCATGAAAGATACTGGTGTACATGTTGCCTGTTGCCATGGACTGACGGCTCTGACTTGACGGGTGAAATTACAACAGATAACAGAACAGTACATAGTCAATACGTGTGTGGAGGGAAAAGAAGGGTGGGGCGGAGGGAGATGGAGGGAGAGGGAGATTGAAGGATGTTTTCACCAAATTATAAGGTTTTATGAATTGCAATCACACAGTGGTTTTAAATCACCTAAGTCATTAAGTGATTAATTCATTTCTCAACTCCTAAATGCAAAACCACCTTTTCTCTGTCCAGTTAATAAAAAAGATACGTAGGTAGCTTCAGAAAATGAGCCTCACGTGCCGCTCAGCACTAGTTTCAAGTCATTTATTCAAATGTTTCTTAGGCGCCTCCTATACGCTACGTGGTCTTCCAGGGGCTGCAGGTACTGGGCACCTGGGCCCACTCTTGTCTGTCCGGGTTCTTCCTGCCTTTGCTCCCTTCCTGCCCCCACTACGTGCAGGTAAGGTAGCTCTAGCGGGAAGCAAGCAGGAGACAGAGAGGGTGGAACTGGCCAGTTACACTGCCTGGTGGTAATAACAGAAAAAAGTCTAGTAAGAGAGTAAGTTTAAACCGCTGTTTCCTGTATTTATTTGTAGTTTCCCTCGCCATGAATTAGTCTCACCATTAACTACTCAACATGAACCCACATATCCTTCTAAGGCACCTGCCCCATGGCTACTCTGACTGGGAGCCCCCCTGGCCTTTGGGTAAACCCTAATCCACATGCACACGCAAGCACACATGCGACACTCTCCAAACAGTCTATTTAAGAGGCTTGTAAGGGGCTAACTGGAAACGCAGCTGTGTAAAAAAGAGGCAGGAACCGCCCAACGGTTCGCTCTCAACTGGTCTCCAGGGACGTGAGGTGATGTAAGAGCCTGCAGGTGTGTCATCACCTGGGTATCCCTAAAGCAACGGGTGCCCAGGGCACACTCAGGGTTGGGGGGCAGAGAAGGCAGGACCCCATGAGGCCACTTCTCCATTCATTCATCCTTCCCTGCTTCTCTTAACACAGTGACCCTACACAAATGAGATGGTCCTCTACCTGCTATGCTAGAATGTATTTTAGAACCTGTACCTCATCCCTGAATTCCAGCAGGCTCAGGCACTAACTGTGCTTAGGGATCAAGATAAAACCTAACGTGGACTCCAGAGCCAAGGGGCCGGAGATGAATCTCACTTTCCACCTGTGTGAACTCAGACAAAGGAGCCGAACCTTTTTGTGCCTCAGTCTCCCTTGCCCCTAAAGTGCAAATTAATAATAGTACTTAATTCAAAAGGTTTTATAAGGAGTATGTAAGTGAACATTTGCAAAGCACTCAACAGCCTGGCACACATGAAACACTCTATAAATATTAGCTATTGCTGTTAAGTCCCAATTTTTAGTGGTGAAATACTTATACATTGAATGCCACATATTAGAGGAAATTAAAGAGAACTGGAAAGGGACCTCAGAAATAACACATTCCACCTCTTTATCTTTTAGGTGAGTCAACAGAGAGAGAGAGAGAGAGAGAGAGAGAGAGATATTACACTGAAAGCTCTTAGAAGAGTGTTTGGCACATTATACATGTTCAGTAAGGGCTAGAGGTCCCTATTAATAGTCCTACTAATAGTCACAGATCAGCCTTGTCTCAGCAATAATGCAAAACATGAGCAGGAGGAAGGGGAGGACAGGGGAGGAGGTGCAAAGGGAAGGAGGAGGAGGAGGGGCATGGGAGGGAGGGGGAGGGGAGGGGGGAGGGGAGAGGGAGAGGGAGGGAGCCGCGATGGCCTTGCTGAAGGCCTAACAGACCCACGCTGCCCCCTAGTTCTGAAGCCTGGATCCCTTTCCTCCCCCGCATCTTCAGTGTATGGGACTCCCGGGCTGTAAAATACAACGGAAAAGTTTTCTTTCTAAAAACGAGTGCTTCTTTTTTCCTTTAAAAAAAGTGCATAAAGCAATGTTTTGTGTATTTTAACGGACTGTTTTCTCAAATCCCATGCTTTGCTGGTAGATATCAGTGATTTGATTCCAAGTATTTGATATGTCTCTATGAGAGGTTTCTGGGAAGCATCTCATGCTGCCCCGGTGGAAAACGTACATTATCACCGTTTGTTTGATTTTGTAGAATTCATCGTATAAGAGCATATTTTTGTTTCTAACAGAGCAAAAATGATGTTTAGACAACATTCGGGAAAGGATACACTTTTGGGGAGAAGGTAACTTGGTCAGAAGCATCATTTGATATTTGGCTTCTATTAAGGTTCCCTAGAAAGTTGATACGCTATGCTAAGAATCCAGCTTCTGTACAAGACAGGTATATTTATAATCTGTACTTAGTAGAAGTTTTCAAATGCCACATAAAAGATAAGCTGGCCATCCTCTCCCTGTGCACGCCCACCCGGCTCTGAGGTTTCCCTGTGTCCATAGGGGCATCCCGTTAGCAAAGTGTGTGACCGGCAGCCTGGGGGTCACCGTTGCGTCCCCCCGGCCCCCACCCGTCCATTGGTAAAAACGCCTGCCTGGGGCTGCAGCTGGCACCTGGCCCTGGCCACCCGGCTCTGCCCAGCCCTGCAGTGGAGGGGGGACACGTCACTCGCACCATCGTTTCCTCCTGGCATCATCCTCGCGGCCCTCTGCCCAGGGGCCAGAAGGACCCCCTCAAAGTTCAAAACAGAGAAGTCGAGTATCTGTGTAAAACCCACAGGAGCTGCCCCTCCTCCTGCATCGAAAGACACCCAGTTTCCCTCAACGCACAGGGTGCAGGCCCGGCTGGTCTAGTCTCCCTCGGTGCCTACTGTCCCTTCGTTCTCTGGGCTCCAGCCATACTGGGCAGCCTTCTGTTCTGCAGGCTCGTCTCGGCACTGAGGAGCTGCTCCCCAGGGGCTCCTCTGGCTCTGGGACAAGCGCCCGCCCACCCTGCAAACCCGTCCTCCTGCCCCAGCCATGTCAGCTGCGTGACCACATTCTGCCTAGCTCGTAGCATCTCTCGGAGTCTGAAGTCATCTTTTCAGATGAACGCCCCCCCCCCCCCCCCCC